AAAATTCAACTGTTCTGACAGCGTATTTGTCCATGTCACAAAAAAAGCAACCGCTGCTATGACATCCCCCCCAATTTGGGTGGAACACGGGCAGCATCAGGTTCATAAAGCCCCTTGACGTAGAGCAGACTGCAGCCAGCTCACTAAAGAAGTGAAGCTTAAGGGAGAACAATCATCCAGCCTTCTTTATCCATACTTTATTGGTAATTGCAAAAAACCCAAACCAGTGTAATTATCTTCTGCCTCCAAGTGGCTGTGCTAATGGGCTGCTCCATACAACTAGAATATTTCAGAGGACAGACGAGCTGCTTCTGGACTGACCAGTTTTAGTACCCCCTGGCATTGCATGCTTCAAGCACAGCGAGCATCAGTAAGCACCTCCAGAAATGAATATCGAAAAGTTAACAACTGCATTTCCCAAGGCAGGTTTAAGCTCACTCAGATCAATGAAGACTAGGTTTCTCCCAAGCCTGACCCCTGAGGGGGTATCAGCAGATTTTGGACACTCTCAGGAGACATCATTCAGTGGCGGGGCAGGGGGTAGCCATTTACATATACACTTGCACTTTCAACCACTTCCACACATGAAGCAAAAGAATTTTTCTTCCCTTAAATCCTGGATGATGTCTTTCACCCGATCCCACTGACATAACTGAGGACAGAGGCAAGTGACAGAGGCTGTATTTCCACAGAAAACAAAGGAATAAGAGAAGGGAAGGAAGTATCTCAGGAGGGACTTCCAAATGTCATTTCACACATTCTCCAGCAAAACCTGAGAGGCCATTTGTGGCATTTTCAGAGAGAGATGAGGAACACGGTGTTCACTTTTTACTCATAGCCGTATGCTCTACACCTAATTATTTCTCAAGCCTTCATTGTACTGAAGGATAGTCCCAAACCAGGTATGAGCCTGATTTCCAGATATCTGTAAACCAAAAAATAAAACTGAGGAGAAAAAGCAGATTCAGCCAAGTGAGCACACCAGTTTAGCTGAGTGTGCCAGTTTTTAAAAGGCATCAAATGCAGACCCTGCCTGCCTTAATTAAAAGCTTTGCTTTGCCTTGCCAAGGGAGAAATTTGACAGTCATTAACTACCCTGCACCAGAAATAATTCTGCACACAACAGGCATATGAAACAGCAGCAGTGAGCTACAGCAACGCATCTTAAGGAGGTATTTCTTCCTGGCAGTCGAGTACAAGGTTGTGTTCCCATCCCCAGCAACAAAACAGCCTCTACTTTCTCCTCTCATTTCCCACATGTCATCCACAGCGCTGTGTTGGTACAGATGTTCCCGCAGCCATGCGGCGAGCTCCGGCGCTGCTCTGATCAGCCTGGAAGATAACACAGCAGGGGAGGGAAAAAGTGACTGTGCTGTGGTTCAGCACAAGGCCACGCAAACAGCTGTGCTTGGCACAGCACAGCGAGCGGGAGCTGTTCATGCACCCCGCCGTGGATCAGGTCTCCATCACCTGGGGGACAGCCTGCTGATGCCAGGCTGACCAAGTGTCACGCCACCACAGGAAAGCCACCCTTCCTCGCCTTCGCCCTGTGCCCCCATGCTGCCTTGCCCCCCCGCCTGACTCCGCAGCGAGTGAGCCGAGGGCACCACGCTTGCAAAGCTAACCGTGCCAAAAAGTGGTTTTCTGTCTGTTCAGTTTTCTTGATCGACTCGCTGCAGGATCAGATAGGCACCCGTGCTGGCGCAGAGCCTCTAGGTCAGGTTAGGCAGGAATATGGTACCACCACATCAGACCCAGGTGCCTGCCAGATGCCACGTTCCCTTCCTTGCGCAGAGGCAGCAGTGCAGCCTGCGCCCAGGGACACCCGGCAGGCTCCCTGTTTGAGACTGCTGGTAGTTTTCTGCCTCCTCTTGACCGTGTACAACTTGTTTCTATCTAGCCTGGCTAATAGAAAAAAAAAAAAAAAAAAATCTTATTTGGATTCAGGTATAGCTTTGTAGCTGACAGACACACCACAGCGTGCCAATTCTCATGTTTTCCAAGCTGAACTTGCAAGGATGGAATAAAGTTATCAGGGCAGAAAATCCATACATCCCTCTGGCACCTGAAAGCTGAGACGCACCCACAGCACTCATTTCCCAACACAGAGCATTACCTGATTTTACGTATTTGAGGATTTACCACTAATCCGTTCCTCAAAACTTACACAACGCTGAAACCAATCACACCACAACCAGCAGAAGAGTGAACGTATAGATGCCATCCCATGCACGCACCGTACGCTTCAGCTCTGCAGTATCTGCACCTGCACAAAGCAGTTAAATACAGACCACGTGGTCAAGCAGAGCCAGAATTTCACCAAGTACCTTGCACACAAAAACGCGCATTGTACACCGTCTGAGCTTCCAACTTTGTTTTGTCAAAAGAAAGTACATTTCTAACCCCCCTGGCTGCAATGATAGCCTTGGAAACATAAACCTTGATATTTGCTCAAGTCCGTAGACTGTTGGAAACAGTGACTCATGCATTAATTCCCACTACCCATTAATCTCAAAGCGTAAGCACTTATGCAGCAATAATGGTGTTTTAATGTCCTGGCAAAAATGGGAAAAAACGGTTAGCAGAATTTGGGAGTGACTGTCAGGAAATGAAGATAAAGACGACGTTTAGAGGACAGCAAGAACAAGGAAGGGACAGAAAAAAAGTAGTCATAAGTTATGAAGCACAGCTCTCCAAGCCAAATGGGAGTTCAGCTGCCACCTGTTTCCAAAAGCCACATTTTCCCACTCATCTCCATGCAATATCCCTCAAAACAATGGCAGGATCTGTGGCTGACTCAACATAAACCCCTCCTCCTTTACAAACCCAGCCAGAGACCTCGGTAAAACCACAGTGGGCTTCAATCCCACTCTCACACCTTGGCAAGCTGTTAAGAAGTTCAAGATGCAACATCAGCGTGCATAAAACATTGCACCTCCAGACCCGGGTTTCACAGACCACCTCAGCCAAAGCCAACGCTAGCTCCGGGTCAGCAGCTACCTCCAGAATATTTTAAGTGGTTAGAGCAGCACATTGAGCTTGTGAAAGACCAAATAGTTCTGTCAGCTCTGTCAGACTGACTACGGCCCTAATGTTTACAAGAAAACTGCTCAGTTCCCTATTAGGCAATTGACCGAGAATATTTAGTTTTTCCCTAAAAAAGGGCACTCTCTGGACAAAATGAGAAGCATTTCATTTCTGCCATCTCCAACTTCATTAAGTTACTGGTCTGAGATTTTTTTTTCCTCAGCAAAAATTCTGCGACTACATGAATGTAGAGATTTTTCTCTTGTCCAAAACCAAACAATCAAAGAACAATCTGGAATTCAGGCTTACAGTTATTAACTTTTTACTCCATTTCCCAAATACAAAATTTGTAAGATGACTTAACACCCAAACCCCAGCTTCTCAACCACTTAAACTACTTAGCAGCACTCAGACAAAACGTACATTTTAGTCAGACACCTTTTAAAAGTTCTATTTTTATCTTGCATATCTCATTGAAGTGACAGGACATTTACAAATACTTATTTTTAAATACAGTGTAAGTGGTCCAAATGAGAATGTTCTCAAATTCAGTAATTGTTTCCAAGATTAAAGCAAAATGAGTTAGAACATGTCATTTCACATTACAGTAAGAGGCCAACCGTTACTCAATCTGACAGAAATAGATGTCTTTCAGGAATCTTAGTTTTCAGTATTTTGGAATACTGAATGCTAGCAACTAGCACAGACACATGCAGACAGCTAGCAGTACAGGAACACAACTATTTTACTATCCCACTTCTGCTTAACATGGAATTGTTAAGAATTTTAACCTTTTAAAAAAAATTTTAATAAGCATTTCTTTAGCGCAGAGTTCCTTTATTCAAGCTTCTGCTGCATAAATACATACATTTATGGGTATTACCTCTGCCGTTCACGTGATTTCCAAGTTAATACGAACACACTAAAGGGAAATACTTAACATCTAGGTATGCACCATGTGATGCAGATCCAAGACAAACGCAATTTCATGCGCAGAGAAATAGTCTTGCAACAATCTTATTTCCACTGTAGTCCTTAAGACATCCATGCCACTCTGCAGAGACAGCTTCACAGTTTGTGAAACGCCTAACACAGATGGACTTCCCAAATTCTAACCAGGGAAGTTCACCCATGCTCGCAGCACATTTCTGCAGATGTCCCTGTACAACCTCACAAGTAGCTGGAGACTAGTGTAGATGCATCCAAGCACATTTCGTCTCAGTCCCTGGAAGCATTCACCGATAATAAACTTGCGTAAGTAAAATTAAGCACAGATTTGTCAAAAAGAGGTTTGGCCTTTGAAGAGGAGACAGAGAATGGGCTGCACCTTAAAAAGAAGTGAGGAAATGGGTAACAGGTAAGCAAACTGCGCTTGCAGAACAGCTGACCGTAAAGCTTCACGTACAACCAAACCTGGCTATCAAAGCTTTAAGTTGAGGAGATTATATTCTGCTGTCTAAAATCACAGTCTTTTCAAAAGGCCAAAATTGTGGGAGATCCTAAAGACAATGTTATCTCCTGGGGGATGAAGAAATAAAAGTAATAGAAGTGAAATAAGAATAATACCACTACCGTAGTATGTCAGAATGGTTTTCATGCACAGACTGCAGTAATCCTTTACGTTAGCTTGCAACATTCCATACAGATTCATTGATCTGCACAATTCAGTAAAAACCAAATTAACTCAGGGATAGCGGTCACCAACAAAACCAGGTGATATCAGGCCCAGAAGCTTGAGGCATAGACTAAGACCATGCCTCTGTGTAGTGATAAAACATTTACACAAGTGAAGCATTTGCCACGTGAAAGGGAGAACTGCTAATTAATGCTTACATGCAGATAAATTGCAGAGGAAGAATCTGACATGTGCAAACAGCCACTTTTGCTTATTTAAGCTGGTGAGTCACATGATTAATTGCCATACTTTACATTGTTCAGATAAGGTGTAAAGGTACAAATAGGGAAAAACCTACCGGGACTCTCTACCCGCTTGTAGTGGTAGGGATTGATGCAAACCTCCTTCTGTTTTGAACCAAAGGGAAACTCGCAGCATTCCAGTGGTTTCAGTTCGTGATGGCTCTGCAGGTCCGGCCAGCGCCACACTCGACAGTAAATGACATGCGGTAGCCCTTTCCGGTGCGAAACCTGAAGCCTGCCGTCCAAGGAACGAGGAATTGTGACACAGTTGCTGGGCTGACCAGGACAGCTTAATGCTTTTTCCAGCTCCTCCATAGCACCTTTCTTCTTTTTCAGTTTTTTCACTAATGCATCAACAGCTTTCTCTGCCCATTTTTCTTCTTCATCCCCCTGCTTCCATCCCAACAGCCTCTTCACCGCTGGGCTGGTGAAGGAGAATAAGCTTGTCACATTCATGGTGACCCCACTGTGGCGATACCACAGAACCAAGCACGATAGACTGTCCTGTTCTTCCACCACCACCAGGGTCCAGCAGATTGCGTCAGTAGTCAAATAATTCTGGTCCTTTCTCCTTTTCACTCCTCCAGTCCCAGGAAGGCAGCGCTGACATCCCACCTTGACAGACACAGCCTTTTCATTATTCTAAACCCTTCCAGTGGAGAACCTGCAGGAGAATATGAGAGGGATAGAAAAAAAAAACCCAAACAATTTTACCTTTTAAATTAATATACTGCAGTTAAAAACACCACCCTACCCCAACCCACAAGAGTGGCATGACCAAAAACCAACCAACAACAACAAAGCTTTGACAGCTTCCAGAACTGGACTGAAGGCACATCTGATGAAGACTTCTAAGGCTCCCCATCCCAGCCCTGAATAAACAAGGTGATCACCCTGGAAAACTATGACACAGCATAAACACCACCAAAAGAGGTTGGGGGTAGAGGGTTAGCAGGTGGAGAGGGCAGGGGGTTAGAGGCAGGTGGTGGGACAATTCCTCATCAGCTCAGCTCCCTCAATAGCTTTTGTGCCATGCAGCAAGGGGGACAGCAACTGCAGCTGCCAGCTTGAAAAAATACTCCTGCTTGGTGCCCGAGCACAGCCTTGGTTTGTACCATGAGAAGCTTGATAGAAAAAGCCAAAACACAAAAAGACATGGCTGTATTCCCACAAAAGGGCAAGGGTCCTATATTAGAAATGTAATTCACATTAAATCTAGCCTAAAGCCATCCCTCAGATTTTATCTTTCACCATTAAGCCTGAAGGGTGCTCCCCTCTACCCATCAGCTGTTGCAACCTTAACCAGCAAATGTCCCAAGGAACCAGTGCAAGATCACTAGTGCTTTTTTCCCCCCCCATTTATTTTAGAGAGCAGCTGGAAGCGATATGCCCCACAGCATTGTGCTACCCAGCCCTCTCCAAACTGCCTGTAATGCAGCTTGAAAAAAAATCACTGCACTAGACTTGTGCGTACCACCATCTGAAACAGAAACAGTTTGGCTTCACCTCCGACTTACTTTGAGGAATAAACCAAAAAAGAACAAAGGAAACTAGAGAGATCCTTGCCCTCATTCATCTCGCAAGAGAAAGAAAACTATCTCCCCACCCCGCCAAAAAAGCCTTCACAGCTCATAAGCAGACTGTGAGGGAAAGATATGATGAACTTACTTCACGGATTACATCCTGACCCTTCCCGTTGCAATGCCTGCCTGATGTACTCAAGGACACATGAAGGAGTAGGAAGGAGAAGGAAGTCCTGATAAGAGGATTTTAGACGACACAGAGGTCCTTGAGTTGGGAGACATGGAACGGGGATGAAGCGATGGGTGAAGAGGGGGAGGAACTCCACATTTGAAGCAGCCCCTGCTGCGAGCAGCAAGTTTCGTACTTGCCTGGGCTGGGAGCAGGCAAAAGGCTCTGCCGGGGGAAGTAGGAGAGACCCTGTGCTGGCAGGGAGGGGAAAATGAGACAAAGAGCACTAAACCGCCAATTTTCAAACAGAGCATGAAGACAGACAGGAAACGTATCCTGGACTGGATACCAACAGGTTGCAGAGGAAGGGGGAAGGGGAAAAGGATATGAATGTTTTTGTTGCCACCAGAAAGACACAAAAAAAACCAACCAACCAGCCACCTATACACATACAGAGTAGAAGGTGTCAGCACACCCACGTCAGACAGAATTATGCTAAGAAAAGATTGCAGATCTTAAAATTGTAAATGCCATGCCACACTTACCCTCTGGACTATCACGCATTGTAACTGTTTCATAATGTACCACTACACTTGACATACTTTAAGCTGAAAACCATCCACTTTAATTAATTTGTCACTAAAACAACTAATTGCAAAGGCTCAGTTTTATTAGGCTGAATGCATAAACTACATTTATGCGAATAGTGATTAGGGACTAAGACACAGAGCATGTCTACCTGCACTTCGTACTGGTACTTCCCATTCCTTTTATGCCAAGAATTGTATTTCAAATAATAATGTCAGTGCAATGGAAGATTTGTATGAGCCTGGGGCAAACTTAGGAACTTATTTTGTTACCTGGGCATGTGCTATACTGTTAAATGAACTGAAACTCCATTAATGTAACTGACTGTACCCAGGTATACTTTATCCTTACACACACTGTAAAGTGCTCTATTAAAATGCTGTGCTAATTTAAGAACCATATTAACAGAACCTCCGTATGTGTGCTTCAAACGTGTTCGTAACAGTTATTCTCAACTCCTAGTCTGTATCTCAAACAATACTCTAAGTATCTTTTTTCTGTATCTTCAAACAAAAGATACGAGTTCCACACACAAAAGTTACAAGTTCCAGTGGTATATTACCAGGTAATCAAGTCAAGCTTTCTACTTCACATCCATTCGAATTAAACAAAAATAATTAAAAGACTTGAGTTGAAGAAAGTACAAAAAAAAAATACAAAGTCTAAATCTTGATCCAAACTTCTTTAAACATTGATAATGAATGCAGACATGGTTCTACCTAGGCCTGACCCATTCCAACCAAGCTACTTGAAAAATAAGGGGCCGATCTACTTGCTGTGAAAAAGAAAAGAAAGTCCATCTATTACAACTGTATGTTTAGACCAGTGCCTGAAAATACAACCCTAACATGAGCTAGCACACAAGCTCTGCAAAGACTAAGACGACATTCAGACACAGCCCCAGCTAGTCACACCATAGGAACAGATTTTCCAAAGTTTTTGGATCAAACCCTGCAACACACACATCCCACTCCCACAATCACACACTCCAAAACACATTTCACCATCACAATCAAAGGTATTAACATCTGGCACCTCTGTAGCAAGAACCGCAGCAAGAAATATGCTGAGAGCGGGAGGAGCAGCGTTAGATCCAGTACTCGTAGATAAGGCTTGGAAGTAATGCAGCTCAGCAGGACCCTGCCGGCCACCAGCCTCCAGCCCATGGGCTCCTGCTGCACTCCTGCCTGCCCGAACAAAGTCCAAGCGCACTCCAAGCCCTGAAACAAGCCACAAGATAAAGGGGGAGAAAAACCACTGGCTGCTGTATACTACTCACACTAAGCTCTGATACCAATATTAAGCCAAAAAAAAAAAAGAAAAAAAAAGGCAGCGTAGGTGGAGTTTTTTGTTTCCAAGAAGCGGAGAGCGCGTCCGCAGTGCTGAGCCCTTGCCAGTACATTCCGTTTCCCTTTCTGCCACTCCTGGTTTTTGCAGTGCATCATTTCCTGTATTACTTTTGCACAAAGTGGTCTTATCAGCTGGAAGTGCAAAATAAAGATTAAACCACCAGTCAGCAGATGACACAGTCCATGTCTTTCTTCCCCAAATACACGTGCCCTTCTGGGAAAGTGGAAGTTAGCATTTCCAATAGCTGAGTGGCCACCAGCTCCTGAAGCGTACGTTTATTCACGAGGTAGGGGTGAAACAGAAACCCAGGCCAAACAACAGGACACCCTCCAAAAGGCAGCCTGGAATCAGTTTAAAGAAAATTGAGTTGTTACCCACTTATCAGCCACTCTTTACACATCAAAACCTGTGCACTTTCTATTATGTGTTCTGTCTGCTGATGGATGAGTTGGAATCAACAAACTTCTTTTAAATCCCAATGCTGCTTTATTTGCCTTCCTTCGCTGCTGCTGTCTTTTGTGTGATCTTTGGACTAACATACAAACCTGCACACAGCTTGTGAGAAGCCTATCGTAAAAAAGTGAGCATTGTGTATATATTTAAACAAACGTATTTAGGCAAAATGCCTAAGAGTGAAGTTCTATTTTTCTAGCCCTCAAAGAAGAGAGATAGTTACTCTGTCAGCAACACTAGGCAGACAGTAAAATATTCAAATGAGACTGTTTTCAAATTCCCACAGGAGATCCCATAGGAAACTGTCCCACTTTGCATAAATGACTGGTTTTGGTGGGTGGAAAAAGGGTTAGGACAATTAGACGATCCTCTCCCGGGGGGGCAAAGGGGAAGCAAAACAACTTCTAGCCTAAGTTTCAGGCAAACAAGCAGCTCTAACTCTTCTACTAATTTCGTTGTTTGTATTACAGGCTCAGTGAGGCAGGCACAAAGGATCCTATTAAATGTTTTTTACTATATGCTCTGCACAGTTAGACATAAAAAGGGGCAGGAACCACAGTGAAGAGAATCTACACAACTCAGTGGAGAAAACTGTCTAGTCTTTGACTAAATTTTTAAAATTCAACTTATCTTATTTTATGCAGCGTACCTTCTCCCAGCGCCCATTACTTATTGACAATATAGAGAAATAACAAGCAGAGAGATTTTAATTTGCTTCTTTGAAAATATTTAGCAATTTGCCTTCTCTGAAAGATGCATCTGTTCAGCAACTCATGTACTCCATACAATAGTTAGACCTTTTTTAAAAACAGAAGAGAGATCAGATTTTGGCCTAGAAGCCAGGGAGCTGTCACTTCACTCCTGCAGGAACTATTTCCATGTATTACTAACAAGCATGCAGCCTAAGCAGCTGTAATGCTAGAATGTGTTACAACAGATTGTGCACCAACTTCCTCTGGCTCCCTATTCTTGGAGCAAGCAGCAAAAAGTTTCGATTTCTTTCTTCAAGCGATGTGACTTGTAAAACAAAAAGTCCAGAGTCTTCTGCTGAATTACTCTGTTTTTAATCAAAGAGGCCTTTCTTTGCACCTTCTTATGGTAGAAGATCAGATCTTGGTCATCTTGGAAAAATGCACAGAAACCTAGTAGAAGCCTCAGTGGCATTACAATAAACACGCAAAAAAAAAAAGCAAGTTTCATTTCAAAGTGCTGTAGGACTCATTAGAGAGTTTATACAGAAACTGACTTGGCTTCCCTTGTATTTCTGAAAAGGACAAGGAGCAAGAAAAACACCTCACTGTTTTATACATCTTCTTGGCATGGTAGAAAGAATCCAAGAAAACACTTAACATGCAGTCCTGTGTTAATTTCTG